ACCCCATGTAACATAGTAGAACTGCCTGTAGGGTTTTCTAGGCTGTAATTTTTATGTAAGCAGATTGCCAGGGCTTTCTTCTATGGAGAGGCTGTGTAGGTTTGAACCACCAACCTTTTGGTTAGCAACCTAGTGCTTAACCATTGTACCACCATGGCTCCTTATACATCCAAAAAAATAAAAAAAACTATTCAGGATGTCTATACTCTCTTCACTCTAGTCTTCTGTTGGCTATTGTTGTTACTTGCTGTTGAGCAGATTCTGACTCATAGTGATCCCATTGTGTGATATTTGTCCCAAGAGTCAAGGAGTGCTATAAACCTTGACCACTCAAAGCAGGTAAGTTAAATTGTCTTGGATGTAAAGGATAAACATCACCAAAATTAATATTATGACTAAATATAGAATAAAAATATAGGTATATAATACATAAACAAGGGGGACCTCTGGTAGCATAGTGCCTAAGGCACTTGACTGCTAACCAGAAGGCTGGAGGTTCAAACCCACCAGCCACTCCTCAGAAGGAAGGTTGGGCAATCTACTTCCGTAGTGATACCACCTCGGAAACCCAAGGAGGGATCGCTATGAGTCAGGGCCGACTCTACGGCACATAACAACAACAACAAATACATAAACATTTTATGTATTATATGAAATGACATTTATTGAGAGCCTCCTGTTCTTTTCTGAGTGTTTATGTCCATTAACTCATTTAATTTTTTTAAATAATATTTCATTGTGTTTTTGGTACAGTTTAACACAGTAGTTTCAACAATTTCTGCATAAGTTGTTCAGTAACATTGGTTACATTTTTCACCACTTGTGAACATTCTTATTATTTCTGTTCTGCTTGTTCTGTTTCATTTAATCTTTATAACAGCTTTATGAGGTAGAGACTATGTTTACTCTTTATAATAACTTCATGAAAAAGGACTGTCATTGTTTCCATTTTACAGAAGGCAACAGGCATAGAGAGTTCAATAACTTTCAAAGGTCACACAGCCAACAAGTGAAGATTGAGGATAGTGTGAATCCAGTCTCTGTTTGCTCCTCCACTATGCTGTGCTGTCATGGTCCTGTTCTACAAGGTCTCTGGGCTCTGCCTGAAGGGTAGCCTGCAGAGATCTCTTGGACAGAGTCAGCCTGTCTCATACCTCACAGTAGCCTGGATTTGATTTCTAAGGGAATGTACCCTTGGCTAAGAGCAGAGGCTAATAATTGTTGGGAGGATGATATGCCTCTCCGATTGCCATCCAGTCTGTCTTAAGTTGAGGTCTTGGGCTCAGAATAGTCTCTGATAAACAGCCTGGGAATTGGGTCTCTCTTCCAGTCCCTTCTCCTTGTCAGAGAAGCCTTTCTCCCTGTTCTGAGTTCCCAACAACTTTCTCTGTCTCTTATTGATGCATGGGCACCATATGGCACCTGGCCAACCACACCTTCTCCATGACTATAGTAACATCAAAGAATGTGCCCATGAAGAACTGACCCCTTGGTGTTTTTATCATTAATGAAAAAGTGCAGGCTTATAAAATTAATCTTGTAGCTAGAGGCGAAGGAATGTTCTTTCTAGTTACACTGTTTTTCACCTAAATAAGAGATACCCCTTGATAATGGAATGATCAGACCTGGTGTGCCTGAACAAAGGACTATTAACTGCTTTTGCCTTTCCCATGAAATCCTGTGCATGCATCCCTCCAGTATACACTACAAAAACCCTAGGTCCAAGTTCGCCTTTGTTCCATCACCCATGGCATATTGAGGGGTGGGCGTGGAGGTGACTAAACATCCCATCCCTGGATATTAGCCTTTTGGAGAAATCTGGTTCCTGATAAACCCTACTCCATTTATCGTCATCCTAATTAATATGTAAGTAATAAAGACCTGTGACCACATCAGTAAGTAGTGTGATTATTGGTTCTGATCCAAAGAGCCATGCATTGTCTGATTTATTTTACTTGGAACATCACAACCACTTCATTATTTGCTTAAACCAAATCACATAAACATACAATTTCCCGTACCTCTTTGAAGGGAAAGCACATAATCATTTAAAGTTGGTCTAGCTTTTAATGATGATTTACTACTGATACTTTACTTTTTGAAAAGTCACTAACTGCTGCATTTTATTGATGATAAAATCACACCCTTAGTCTATAAGTAGAAATCATATTGCAAATCCTCGAGTTTCTATTCTTTTTGGGATTGGTGTAGTCCTGGGGAAGAGTACACCAGCCTTATATACTCTGTACAGACTCACCAAGGATGCCAAGATGTTCCTCTTCAGGGCCTCTCTCCTTTCGATTTGCAAAGGAAGCATCTGTGTATTCACGATAAACCAGCTTTTTATAAGAGCCTCCAATTCTTGTAGCACTTTGTTCAAAAAATACCTGTGACTCACTGACAAAAGGGAAAGGGTTTAATGCTGGAGTTGAAATAGAACAAAAAGCAGGTATTCACATGAGGTACTAATGGAAGAAAAAAAAATCTGGCCTGTCTTAGATGTGATTCTTAAAACTAAACCAAACTCACTACCATTGAATCAGTTTCGACTCATAGTGACCCCCTTTGAGTTGCCAAAGCTGTAAATCATTACAAAATCAGATTGCCTCATCTTTCTTCCATGCATCAACCTTTTGGTTAGCAGTCAAATGCCTTAACCACTACACCACTAGAATGTCTTTAGACATGCTTGCTATCCAGCATTTACAGTAATCCATAACAAATATGCAAATAAAAGCAGACAGTATTAGATCACTTTATGGAAGGAGGATCAGTTAAGGAGTGAAAAATCATTGAAGAAAGGTTTCACTTTTTCAAGTGAAGTGAAAAATTTCCAGAGGGCCTGTGTCAACATCTGTTGGTTAATAAATAATTCTATGACAGAATCTTTTTTTAATTAACTTGTGAAATGTTTAAATAACAGTGAAAACAAAACAAAATAACTGGTTATCTATGAGTTGATGCTGACCAGTTAGCTCTGACTCATATTCGGCCCACAGTGTTGTAGTAGAACTGTGCTCCATGGTTTTTAAATGGCTGCTTTTTTAGAAATAGATGATCCATGCTTTCTTTCTAGGAGCCTCTGAGTGAACTCAACACCAACCTTTCAATTAAGAGCTGAGTGTGTTAATTGTTTACACCACTCAGGGACAAAATAGCCATAGCTACTGGCATAGTGCCTAAGGCATTTGACTGCTAATCAGAAGGATGGCTGTTCAAACCCAACAGCTACTCCTCCAAAGGAAGACTAGGCAATCTACTTCCATAGAGATACCTCCTCGGAAACCCAAGGAAGGTTCACTATGAGTCAGGATCGACTCGACAGCAGTGAGTTTGTATTTTGGTGTGTATTGTTTATTGAGTATTACCACATATCAGGTGCTGTTTTGGTTCGCCAGTGCTGCTATAACAGAAATACCACAAGTGGATGGCTTGAAGAAACAGAGATTTATTGTCTTACAGTTTAAGAGTTGTGTTAGACTGGGTTCTCTAGACAAACAAAACCAGTAAAGTTTATATATATAGAGAAAGAGAAATTTATCTTAGGAAAATGGCTCACACACTTATAGATGCTGACAAGTCCAAAGTCCTCGGATCAAACTGGAGGCTTTTCCCAACTCACGCAGCTGCAGGGGCTGAGGAGCTCAAGGTGGGCAGGCAGTACCAGCTGTTGACTCCAACTAATGATGAATCTAAGATCTCCAGGCCGAATGGTGGATTGTTTATTCACAGACAGTTGTAGGCAGCACAACAGAATCCAAATCCACAGAAGAGTGTCTCTTTTCCCAGAATGTCCATAAATATACTGGAAGCAGACCACTCCCTTAGGGAAACTCCCTTTCAATGGATTGGCTGCTTAACACTATACATCTGATCCCATCATGGGAACAACCTACATCAAAATTGCTTAAACCACACAGAATTGTGATCCAGCCAAGTTGACACACAGCTCCAACTATCACAGTCCACCCCTTGTCAACTTGGCAGTTGTACACATCTTCTTAACCATATGTAATCTCTAAATAAGGAAAATTTTAAAGTCCTATTGCACCTAACATGACACGCTAACACATGTATAAAAGAGACTCATTAACTTTATTTACATTTCACAGTTTTTAACAGAAGGAAACGAAAATATTTGATGAGCATATACAATGAAAAAATATAATAATCACAGTCCTTGTTTCTGCAACTGGTCACATGGTCATAGCTGATATTCAGAACTACCTTCTTCCACCACCCATTTTGTATTTCCCTTGCCCTCAGCAAGCACCTCAGCTGGTCGTGGTTCTTTGTCTGGTGGGGTGACCCAAACCTTCATTCCTAAAGTACCTGGGCCATTAGCAGTCTTATCAGAATTGGGTTGTTTACACCACTCAGGGACAAAATATTTTGTCCCTGAGTGGTGACCTTAATCTCAGGGCATGGTAATACTAAGAGGTGTCCTAAAGAATCTCCTGTATTCCAGACATATTCTTCTTTACCTCCATTATATAAAGCCAATCCAATTTCCCCTTGGTAATCAGGATCTATCACACCAGACAGTACAGTAATGCCCTTCTTTGTCTGTTGATCCAGAGGCATGAGGAAGCCAAAATGGTCGGGTGGCATTCTTAATTTCCAGTTCAATGCAATCAGTATTGTGTCTCCAGGTGGGAGTGTTCCTCCCTTTGGGACTAAGATCTCCAGACCCGCAGAGCATAGCATAGCAGGGACAGGAAGCAAAATTTTTTTGAGTGGGTCACTAGGGATAATAGGGAGTGTTATCACTCCTGTTTCCACCCCTTGGTTCCTGGACCATGAATCCTGGCTATTGGAGAAACAAAACTATATACTGGATGCTGGTTTAGAGCATATACAGCCTCCTGGAGAACATTGCTCCAACCATTCAAGGTATTGCCACCTAGCTGGCACCATAATTGTGTTTTCAGTAGGCCATTCCATCATTCTATCAAGCCAGCTGCTTCAGGATGATTGGGAACATAGTAAGACCTGTGAATTCCATGAGCATAGGCCCATTGCCACACATCATTTGCTGTGAAGTGAGTCCCTTGATCTGAAGCAATGCTGTGTGGGATACCATGACAGTGGATAAGGCATTTTGCAAATCCACAGATGGTAGTTTTAGAAGAAACATTGCATGCAGGGATGGCGAATCCATATCCAGAACAAGTATCTATTCCAGAACAAAATGCTGTCCTTTCCATGATGGAAGTGGTCTAATGTAATCAACCTGCCACCATGTTGCTGGCTGATCACCCTGAGGAATGGTTCCATGTCGCAGATTCAGTGTTGGTCTCTGCTGCTGGCAGATTGAACACTCAGCAGTGGCAGTAGCCAAATCAGCCTTGGTAAGTGGGAGTCCATGTTGCTGAGCCCATGCATAACCTCCATCCCTGCCACCATGACCTCTTTGTTCATGAGCCCATTGAGCAATGACAGAATTAGCTGGGGAAAAGGATGGCTGGTTTCCACTGAACGTGTCATCCTATCCACCTGATTGTTAATGTCCTCCTCTGCCAGGGTCACCTTTTGGCTGTCATTTATATGAGACACAAATATCTTTAGTCCTTTGGCCCATTCAGAGAGATCTATCCACATACCTCTTCCCCATACATCCTTGTCACCAAGTTTCCAATCATGTTCCTTCTAAGTCCCAGATCATCTGGCCAAGCCATTAGCCACAGCCCATGAATCCATATATAATCGCACATCTGGCCATTTCTTATTCCATGCAGAGTGAACAGCCATATGCATGACTCGAAGTTCTGCCCATTGGGAAGATTTCCCTTCACCGTTGTCCTTCAAGGAAGTCCCAGAAAGGGGCTGCAATGCTGATGCTGTCCACTTTCGAATGGTGCCTGCATATTGTGCAGAACCATCTGTAAACCAGGCATGAGTTTTCTCTTCCTCAGTCAACTGATCATAAGGAACTCCCCATGAGGCCATAGGTGCAGACTGGGAGAGGGAAGGTAATGTTACTGGAGTGGAGACCATAGCATTTGGGCCACTTCCTCATGCAACTTACTTGTGCCTTCAGGTCCTGCTTGAGCCCGATTTCTGATATACCACTTCCATTTAATGATGGAGTGCTGCTGTGCACATCCAACTTTATGACTCTGTGGGTCAGACAACACCCAGTTCATGATGGGCAGCTCAGGCTTCATGGTGACTTGGTGGCCCATGGTTA